TTGGGAAAGCTTTGGTCCCTCAGGAGAGATCAGATAACGCGCTGTTTCCTGGGGATTTCTCCTTGTCTTTCCTTTCCTTATAGGGTGTTTTATGAACTCAGCTGCTGGAGCACAGGGACACGAAGCTGAAATAGGAAGACCATCTAGTGAAGCCCTCGTTCAAAGTCACAACTTCGGCTCTGCCCTTCTTGCCAAGGTGGACTGGCGGATTTCGTCGGTGAGAGGAGCTGGTGTTTGGCAGACAAACCTCAGACTGAATCCTTGGCAGGAGCAGCTACGTTGGTGATGGAATTAAAGTTTCATTTTAAAATAATTTCTAGGCCCCATGTTTATGATGAATGAATTCTGTGTTTGCTACAAGCAGAGAGGATGAAGAATATTGCTGTGTTACAGTCTTGCTTGTTTCAGTTGCTCAGTGAATGTGAACTGCCCGAAAAGACAACTGCTTCTGTATCAGCTTTAAGTATTTCTCTGCTATATTTGCCTCAGCTGGAGTGTCTGGGACGTGGTTACTCTGCAAATATTGCCATGGTGGATGTTTCGGGTGAATACGCTTGGGATAGAGTTTCCAAGCAGGAAGATTCAGATAAACAGCCGCTTCGAGGTGAAAATTAGGGAGTTCACGTTACACCCATCTCTTGAATTTGTAACTGACTATTCACCCTGAAAATCTGATTCTAAGAACTCAGCGTGTCCCATTGGGAGCAGAATAATACCACAGAAACCGTGGCCAGCCTGAGTCTTGAATATTGAGAATTGTGATTAACTTCTCAGGAATGTATGCGGAGCAAGTCATATTTTCTGGGCTTTTTTAGGTAATTATTTCAAAACTTGAATCTGTGAATGAAGATTATAAACAGTTCCCAGGCAAACATCTTAGAGAAGGACGTGAAATGCATCAAATAAATAATGGGTTCTGACCTGTTCACTCGTGAGTAACGTGCATAAATGTCTGTTCTGACCGCATAGGAGGAATGAGCTGCAAAGGGAGCAATCGGATCTCTCCATGAAGTGATACAGGTCAAAATGGCAAACCTTAAATAGCTACAAGCTCGCTCAGCCCATGGACAGATCAGCAACGGCTAGAACTCAGCCAAATTGCTTCCTGAGTAACTAGGATGCCTCTTGCTGAGTTTAATGAAATGTCATTGCAGTTTCCATAGCGTAGGCCCCGTCCTGTATCGTCCCTGGCCACGCTGTTCTCCAGCACATCAGGGCACTCTGCAAATCCTGCTGCGACGGCCCGGCTTGGGCTGCAGCTGGTTCGTCCAGCCACATCCCGTTACAACGATTACATTATCTGGTAAAGGAGGTTTTTGAACCTTCTCTTAGAAAATGAAGGAGATGTGTTCTGCAGTGAGGTGAACCGATAGCGCTGCGCAGCGAGCTCTGCAGGCGACGGGTCATGGGGAGGGAGCTGTCGGCTCAGCAGGATGTTTGCCGTTGGTGTGGGCTCAGTTTCTTGCTCTGACACAGGTTTCTTCATCATCTTACAGTGAGACTAAGAGTCCAGCTTTCCTGCCTGAAGGGATGGGGAGCGTAACTATGTTTCAGATTGGAAAATGGTCTGCAGGTAAGGGGCAAATCGGCCCATATAATACAGACCACGTGGAAGAAAGGCTCTGGTCTCTCCCTCTCAGCGCTGCCAGGGATCCCAGGCTAAACACAGCAGGCCGGGTGTCCATAATGACATTCCCAGTTACAAAGAAGGAGGTTGTAAATGTACGGAGGGCAGGGAGAGGAACAGGCCGCACAAAACCACTTTTGAGGGCTCGCTGTGGAGCCTCAGCCTTTGCGCTGTAGTGACAAGCCTTGGAGTAACGAGGAGCTCGGTTCAGGTGCTGCCTTTTGGGGTTGCATTTCAGTAGCAGCAGCAGCAAACTGATCTCTGGTGGTTAGGGAAGGAATGGTATCCGGATCAGAAAGCCCTGCTGAAGGATCACAGGGTTATATGAAGACCTGGCCCAGGAGCCTGCAAGATGTTTTTGTGTTTATTAGTCATTTAAAAAATAATGCTGGTTCTGTAACGAAAGCTGTATCCTCATTCTCAGCTGTTGTCTGTTGCTTGCTTGGGGAGGATCAGTGTATTCTTGTGAGGGCTGGAGGGGTATTGGCTGTACGGAGACACGACCAGTCTCTAACCAAACAAGGGCAGGTCGCTGCTCGTGAGGCACAGAGGGTCTGATGGGGAAGACGCCAAGTGCTTTCAAATCCCACTAGGTGCTCAGTGAGTCATGGGTCCTGCAGAAGACAGTCTGTGCGGTTATATGATCAAAAACTCTACGGGGAAGTGTATGCACGTGAAAGCAAAGTTAAAGTCTTTCTGGTGTCTAACTTTTCAGTGCTCATCTTTCCAACTGTAGCACTCTTTTAATGCAAGGAATTACGGAGGCAAAACAAACAGCCCCAAAACTTCTGAAGGTTTTTGTTAAAGGAAAAAGAGGGGAAAAAATTCCCTGAAACCTCTGGCATGTGGCATCAAATTGACCCCACACAGACCGTTGGCAAGGTTGGGAATTTTTAAGCCATGGCATAGACTTTGGCCACTCGTGCTCATGGAGCGACACAGAGCTCTGCCGAGTGTCTCTGCCTTAGGTGGACCAGCTGTACAGAGGGCTAAGCCAACTGTTCCACCAGGGTTTAGCTGCGTCTGCCAACACCCGAGGAGCGTTAACAGTCAGAAAACAGGTCTCTGCCCAGATCTGGAAGGACGTGGGGACTAACAGCGCGCCTGCCCATCCCTCCCTGTCTGCCCTACCTTAGCTCTCCAAATGTATCTGACACAGAGGTCAGGAACAGCCAAAACCCTCAGAGCCTACCCTAAACCTGAAGCAGGTCTATCAGTTAGTCTTCCCCTAGCTCCAACCTTCAGCCTCAGGGCTCTATGTCTAGTTCTAGCCAAGGACCACCACCAACCAAATCCTTACGCTTAGCCAGAGACCATCGGGAGCCACAACCTCATCCTGGACAGGGATGTCTCCCAGCCCCCAGCAGTGGGACTGGGCCAGCCTCGTCTCGCAAACGGGCCCCAAATCCCAGCCCCGTCCTGGGACCGTCCCTGGGTCAATCCCTTCCAGCACAGGCCTGGGGCTGCTTCCCACCCCATCTCTGACCCACCATCCACAGCCCTGGGCGAGGACACCAGTGAAACCACAGCCCTACCCCTCACCGTGGACTGTGATTACCGTGGTCTCAAAGTGGGCAATCAGCAGCTTCATTAGCAGGTCTGCAGGTCCTTCACCGCATGTGTTTGGAAGATCACCTGCTGGAATGCTCCGTTCCTGCTGTTCGCTTTACTCTGCCTGTAACATTCAGGAGCAGAACAGACAAGATGGAGCGGGCAGGAGGGAGCTCTGCCGTTCCTCCTCCCCTTGTTGCCCTTTTTCCCAGGGGGTTGTGTACCTCAGCCTCAGAAGAATGAACCACACCGATTAGGTGACTGACATGCAGAACTTGAGTACATATTTTTACGTATCTAATCCCCGAATACAAGCCGCCCCAGTTAAAACAAATCTGCTTGCAGGATCACAGCAGCTGGATGGTGCTGCCCAGGGGCTGCGCTGGTGCGCAGGGAGCTGCTCCCACCGGCTTGTCCAGGACAGTCCTCAGAGCTGGGGAGTGGCAGAAAGGAGATGGCACAATGAGATGTAATTACTGGGGTCCCCCCCCAAGAAAGCTCATTAACAAATCAGTGCCTGTATGAGATGTGAAGCAGTTGAAACAGAGACGAATATCACCCCCGGGCTTAGCAAAAAATTATCTTCAGCTCCTAGGATCAGGTGGAATATGCATGTTGAATCCTCTTTTTAGCATTTCCTAGGCATGGCTTTCAAACAAAAGCCCCTAAATACACATTTTAAACAAAGACGCTGATTTCTGTTGAAATGCTGTCCTCAGCTGCGATAACGGGAGGCGCCAGAGCAAGGGAAACCGCAGGAGCCGCACTGTGCGTGCAGGAGAACGGGAAAGCTCCTCTCCCTGTCTAACTAAGCTGCACATGGAGTCCCTGACAGCAAAGTGACATCCAGAGGCTCAAGACCCCGTGATTTATATGGGGTTTCTGGTGTTTTCATGGGGTTTCTCTTCCCTATATGATTTACAAGGTACTCCACTCCTTCAGAAAGCTCCTTAGCCTTTCTCCTACTAGGTGCCATGGAGCAAGGTCACGCGTGATTTACATAAAATTATGTATTTTTTCAGTAATTCCAAGGTTTCTCCATCACTCCGTTGTGTCTCATCCCCCAATTCACCGTAGATTTCTCTGTTTCAGTTCCTTGAGTTACAGATTCAGGGACTAAAGGAATAATTATTACTGTGCCCCGTTAGGGAAAAAAAAAAGTAAGATTTTTGGCCATAGGTGATTATAGTTTCCGCAGCTGAATAAATCAGTGTCCCATAACTGACAGAGGATAATGGATTTAATAAATAGCTATGATTAAGTCTGATGTTATTTTTAAATAATTTCAAAAACTGTTACTCTAATCCCTCCATGGCTGGCAGAAAGGATGCTGCTTAGAAGTTAAAATTAGTTCCTTAATGTTCAGCCTGGTGTGGAGTTACGGGCCCTCCAGGGCTGTGCCGGTTTTCTGGGGCATCCGCTTACACCGTCGGCCTAATGGACGTCAACAGCTGCTTTTGGCGAGCGGGAAAGGGCTCCCCCAGCTCCCGCTGTTAGCTGTTCTCCGTCCCGGGGCTCAGTTCGCTCGGCAGGAGCTCCCACCCACCCCAGCCCAGCTGCTGGGATAATCGGCTGGCGTTGCACTTCACGGTGTTACCCACTTTACAAGCTCTCTTCCCGCACAGCAATTCCCTTCCCCTTAATTCCCAGGGAATTACCAGCTCTGTCAGGCCTCTTTATCAATAAATATAGATCTCTTCTGTAAATATCAAGGTGACTTTTTTTTCTCTTTTTTTTTCCAGCACCTACTTTTCTGAGTGAGTGATCCTGTTTCTTGGCTGGAAAAAGGCGCTGAAGAACACTTTGCCTTGACAAGCACCACACAGAGGGACAAGTTTTCGGGTCCGTGTAACCTCATAGAAGTGTTAGGCGTGACTAGTCTACTTGCTCAACCAAATAAAAACTCCTGACAAACTTGAACTAGGATCGCGGGAAAGGGGATGAGCCACAGTGCAGCGGGCAACCACGGCAGAGTCGCTATTTATCAAACCCACTTTAACGGGCCAAATTCCCAGGTATTTGGGAGAAAATGAAGCTGCCTTTAAGACGGGCTTCCCTCCTCTTGGTGCCACCCCATCGCAGAGCCCCAGTACGTTCCTGTACCGACCGCAGGGACGAGGCACTGGGCTGGGGACCAGTTTGCCCTGACCTGCCGTAACCGTCGGCGATGCATGATGTGATGCCGCGCTGCCACCCGCCCCCGGGGACACCCCTCCTCCTTGTCTACCAGCTCTAATGATCCCGTGGCCACAGCGGGAGTTGTTTCAACTGAATTGATGGAAAACCATACTTATTTCTTTGTTTTCTTGGGTTGCTTTCCCTTCAAATGAGCTGTCTGGACTGACGCGTCCCCACGGCTCCTTGGCTGCAGAGGAGCAGGGGGAGAAAAGCAAGGGAGGGGGAGAAAAGCGGGACCGCTTTTTTGAGGCCGCTACACTAAATTAGGGGAAACAACAAGCTGCACCTTGAGCCTTGGAAAATCCAGCTGCGGTCCCCGGCTTTGCCTCTGGCTCAGCAGTAAGACAGGGATAACAATAAATCCCTTCTCCCACCTTCTGCATGTCCTGATTAGACAGACTGTAGCCGAGGGGGGCTGTCACTTGTTATGTGCTTGTTTAGTGCCTGGCACAATGCAGCTCTGATCTCGACTCAAACCCGCGGCTGCTGCACGAACAATAGGACTGAAATGAATCTCATGGCTGGCGGTGGGGAGGGCGGGCTGCCTGACGTCTGCCTCCCCGGGAGGAATT